AGCCCGGTGCCGGGCCCGGGGCAGGGAGTAGGGCGGGGCCACAAGCCGGGGGCGGGGCTACGAGCCGACCCCAGACCCTCCCAGGCCCTCCCGGACCTTCGCAGCCCAGGGAGTTCTCAAGGGTCCTGAGTTTTGGGGGTTTTGAAAGAAATTCGTAGACATGGTAACATTAATTAAATTTAAAAATCCAAGTTCTTCCTTAAGCATGTCCTGAGTATAAGTGTAACAAAGTCGAGCAGTCCCCTTTGGTCCCTTTTTACAAACTTTCAAATACTTTATCTTATAAACGTAATATCCTTTCTTTTTCATTTGCTCCAGGTTTTAGTGTAACAAACAAACCCTTTGCAAATACTGACTGCAATTCTGCTCAAAACTGTTAACACAGTAAGCCTGAGCCTCGCGGTCCCAACACTGCGTCTCCGCGATCACTCCGCCGCACACTGGGTCACAAGAACATGACGCTGGTGGAAGTTCTGAAACAAGCTCCTAAAATTCCAAACACGCTGATTCTCGGCCCAAAAATATCATTACTGTGGTCTCAATGGTTTTACACCTCTATACACAGCGCTAAATGTCCCTGGGGTTGAGCGCCCACCACGGAGACAAGTCCTGCCAGGTGGCTTCCCCCGCAAGCGGTCTCAGCCTTCTGATGAGTCAGACGCCAGGTGGGGACCCAGCCCCCTGCCCCTCCTCACTGGGCCACCCTCCCACCCAGAGGCAGCTAAGTGCTGCCTTGGTCTCTTTGAATGTGGAAATGTCTGCCAAAGGCTTGATGAAACCTTGGGTGCTGACAACACAGACCTCTGCATGTGGTGGAAGGTGCGTTCCTTCTTAGCCCAAGGACCTTAAAACCAAAGTAAAAACCCTAGTGAATTCTGAATTTTTCTCACAGCCAACTGACTGGCAGGTGTCCAAGCAAAACCATTCCAGTCACACAAAACAGTGGACACATACAGAACTCTGGGGCAAGACACCGGGCCAACACACTCACCTAGCACTGCCCAGCAGCACACCAGACACGTTCCCCACATTCACCCTGACACACTCTTCACGCTCACCGTGACACACCTGTCTCCTCTGCCCCCCTGTGCACTAAGTCTCCCGGCCCACCACACAGAGGGGGCCTGATGAAGCAGCTGTCAGTGAACAACGGCAGGTCCGTCAGCTACGCTGTGGCCCCGGCCACCAGCAATGAGAACTCAGGAACACCTGAAGATGTCCGAATAAGGGACAACCACAGCTCCCAGAGTCCAAGGAACCCAGGGGAAGACGGGCCACGTGCCAGGGGCACAGGGCCCTGCAATGACCTGGGCCTGGGACAAGTCGAGACAGAACCCACTGACACTGCAGCCCGGAGACAAAAGGACAACTCTGGACATAGGAGACTTGGACACACTTTATGTATGAGCCACCAGCGCCAGCGGTGGCACCTGTGTCACTTCTCTAGGAAGACTTCACGCTCAGCTCCAAATCGGCCCTGGCCAGACTCAGCAACAGATGTGACAAATGGGAGAGCTGATCCCGGTGACGACACACTCCAAGTCTCAAGCCACGATGCACATCCTCCTGTCAGAGGGAAGGGTGCTGCCACCGTCACTGGCACAGGAGGAGCGGGGCCAGGCTCAGAGCCTGGGCTCAGGCGGCCGTGCCTGGGGGTCCCTCAGAGCGATGAGCCGGTCAGCCTCCCTCCAGCCGGACAGCAGAGCTCCGTGCGTGGTGGAGTAAAACATCCGATGTGTGGCTTCCCCAGCAAACAGTATCTGGAGCTGCAAAGAAGGGCCAGCGTTAGAGCAGGTTGCCAGGGTCGAGCTGCAAGCCACAGGCCCTTCGCTGGTGGCCGCAGAGCTGATGGTGAATGTGTGGCTTGCTCTTCACCTAATCTCACAGCCGGAGGTGGCCACAGAGCAAGAGCAGGTGCTGCAGTCACGGAAACCAGCAATGGTGGTGAAGGCCGCCTCAGAGAGCAAGCATTCGGGAGCTAAGCATGACCACGAAGCGGAAAACTCACGAGGTTCGGCAGACGACGTTAAGGGTATGACCCCAGAACCAGAGAGACGGCAACTAGAGGGAAAGACAAGGACATCTGCGGATCAGTCCAGAACCCACTATCCAAACAGCAGAAATACCGGAAAAGCAGAGCTGCAGAGAGACAATGAGGCCATTCAAAGGCGCCCGCTCGGATGGGAGCGGCGGGGGCCAGGCGGGGGTGTGACACGGCACCACCGCCAATAGGCACAGTGCCACCCCATGAGTGCAGGAGCCAAGAGCTCGCTAAGCTTCCTAAGAGATTTGAAAGTCGGACACAAAGCTTCCAATGGCTGTGGACATCCCAACAGCTACACTGAGGATGCATTACACCCCGAGGGTGCAGCTCTCACCAGGATTCTGTGCCCAACCCGGGGCGTTGATTGGACGGAGGAAGGTGGGCCCGCATCCTGGCCTAGAATCTGGGCCAGCCTGTGGATGCCCCTGACTTTCGAGCTTGGTTGCAGGGGTCCATGCGGCCGGGATGCCCGTGCTGGGCAAGCGGCTCTGAGGCTGCCATGCTGAAGGAAGCGAAGCCACACAGAGCAGCCACAGCCAGGCGCACCAGCCAACGTCCCAGACGAGCTCAGCCTTCACGTCGTCCCAACCCAGGGCCAGCTATGTAAGAGAGACAGCCTCAGACGACCCCAGCCCTGGCTCCGAGTCACCCCCAGTGGCTCAAGTCTTCCCGGCTGAGACGCCAGACACCGTGGGGCAGAAACAAGCCACCCGCAGTGCCCCTACAGAACTGGCGGCATGATCACGGGGTTGTTCCTCGGGGTGGTTTGTTGCACAGAGATCAGGACAGGCACAGCGAAGCATAAGAGTAGAGAAAAAGACATCTTCACATACGCAGCTGTCTCTCAAATTCTCCTCCCATGCACGCCTTAGTCAGGAAGCTACCAGAATAAGTGCTCCTACAAAGCCAGAGAGCAAACCAAGAGATGACGCAGACCCCAGAGTGGGAACGAGGCACAGGGAGCGCCAGGGCAGTGGTGGTGCAGGCCCAGGTGGGCGGGCACAGGTTCCAGCTGTGCCTCCAAGAGCTGAGGCTGGCAGACACCTGTGCCCGGAAGGGAGCGAGGACAGAGACCAGCGGTCCCCAACCTTAGTGGCACCAGGGCCCGGGGCTCCTGCGAGAATCTAGTGCCCAATGACCTGGGGTGGAGCGGAGGCTGCGATGCTGCGAACGCAAACCCGCCCGCCGCTCGCCTCCCGCAGTGCAGCCCGGTTCCCGACAGGCCACAGACCGGTCCCGGTCCACGGCCCAGGGCCTGGGGACCCCTGATATAGGCAGCTGGCAGAACTCAGGCCGACAAGTGCACAGAAAACTAAGTCCCGCACACTTGCTCACACACTGACACGCACACCCTCACTCACAACATACACACTTGTACTCACATGTACACACTTGCTCCGACGCATGCATATCACACACTCGTTTCCCTTGTATATCCACAAACTCGCTCACACGCACACACTTGCATGCACTCACACACAGATTCTCATACTCACAGACACGCGCACAAGTGCTTACACGCTGACCTCTCCACACAGGCAGGAAGAGCAGCTCACCACCGCGGCTCACGTGTAGATCGCGCTCGGAGCAAACGAGAGTGTGCACACCAAGGAGCGCTGGTACCAGCCGGTACCACGAGGACCCATCGGCGTGCCGGGCGGCGGAGGGCCGGAGGGAGCAGGAGCCAGCCCGCGCGGTAAGTGGTCAGCGACAGGAGGGAGACACCACCAACACAAAAGCCCAACGCCGAGTCAACTACTGAATTGTTAATGTTTAAGTGTGATAGCGTCTTTTAGTTACGTATTTTAGGAGAGCACCCTTCATCTTTCAGAGATGCTCACTGAAATATCTGCAAGTCAAATGATGTCACCTGTGGAGCATGCTGGCCAACAGCAGGGCGAGGGCGAGGACAGGGACAGGCGGCTGGGGATGGGGACCCAAAGGTTCTGCCTACTCTCGTATCTGTGACGTTTTCCACAACTAAAGATTTAATAAAGGTGGTGGCAGAACCACGTTGCTGAGAGAGGACAGTCAGCTAGGACAGTCTGGGAGGGGGCGATCGGGTGCCCCCGCCAGCCTCCTGTAGCCTGTCATTTTATGTCACTGCCTGGCACCGTGGGATTCATTAATGCCTGAAGCTAGGTGTATGTATAACTCTGATAAGAATAATACATTTAAAAATTATTTTTAATCTCAAAAGGAAAATAGATTCTGAGGGGCCCAGCTACCTCCACCACCCCCCATGTCCCAGCAGCTCCAGGCCTGTCCAGGGACACAGGTGACACCCTACCTGGGGCTTCTCTCCGCCCACGGGGAGGGGCTGAGCCAGCAGGTCGATGTCGTCGCCAGTGCTGCCCACGGCCACGTAGCTGTAGGAGCCCCTGGTGTAGGGGGCACTGTGCCAACACGACCGCAGCACGGCCCTGGGCGCCGGGAGCTGGGGGTTTCCTGAGCACAGAGATGCCACCGTTAGCTGGCACTCCCGCCACACGTCTGCAGCTAGTCCGCTCTGAAGACTGAGCTGTTTAAAATGAAAGCAACTGTCCGGGGAGAATCAAGCCACGGAGTGTGTGAGAACCTCTCCCTGTCGCGTCCACCTTGCTCACCTCAGGACACTCACAAAGCAGCGCCCGCCACCCCACAACACGGCCACCCACAAGGGCTGCGTCCCGATTCACCACGTGTGCCTCTGATGGCGTGCCCAAGCCATCGGAGCCTCAGCGTCCGCATCCGTGAAGCTCGGGCTGAGGACCGCTGCGTTTGCTTTGGTGGCAGCGTCGGAGAGAGGCAGTGCGGGGTGTTTGCAAAGCCATTTCAGCTCCGCAGAAAGAAGCACACGGACAGGTGGCCCTGCCAGAAGAAGGCGGGGCCACCCCTGGAGGTTCGCAGGGGCCAGCTCAGCGTCTCCTATGTAGATCTCAGCCAGCGGGAGACACAAGGTAGTGAGGTGGCAGCAAGCGGTCAGTACCTGTCGCCCTGCGAAGCACGTGGGTCAGAGCCTGGAGCACCTCAGCGTCCGACAGCGTCTCCATGAACTCGGACTCGAGCCCGGCGATGAACCCGCAGAGGACATGGGCGGACCTGTGTGGGGACACACGAGACTGTCGAGGTCGGGCCCGGCCCCCCGCCCGTCACCTGGGTGTCTCAGCAGGGACCCGACAACCCACACAGTGTCCCCCGTGAGCATTCCTCGGGTCAGCGGCCCTGTGAGTGTGGGCCACAGAGTCCGGGGGGCCCGCCAGGTCAGAACTCTGCATGACACTGGACGGCGCTTCCTGCACCCCATCCGCCCACACTCGTCCCACCGTGTGGGAACAGCCCAGCCTCACTGCTGGCCTGTAGCAGGCGAGGCCATGACACACACGGGACTAGTAGTGCCCCCCCTAACACGCAGGAAAGAAGGCCAAGGTGACCTGAGAGAGCTCGGGGAAGCAGGGAGGCAGCTGGCAGCGTTAAACCCCACCTCTGGGGGCTCACCTCTCTCATGCCCGTGTGAGCCCAGCAGGGCGGCAGGAACAGGAGGGCGCACCCTCTGCGCGGGACAGCGAGCCGCCCTGCTGACCGCCCGCCCTGTGGATCCGGTCGCAGCTGACCGGTCTCTTCTGGGAACCCTTACAAGCGACTGACAGGCCTGGAGTTCAGGCTTAGGGACATGGAGGCGTTCTCGAAAATGAGCAAGTGTGTCTGTCACCAGGAAAGCAACTGCAAGTATTTACTGTGGGTGATAAAATTTAAGCTTTCAAGCAAAAATTAGAATTTTAGAAACTTTTTATCTGCCACCAACAGCTTGCTAGGCTCCCAGTACTGGGAGATTTTTCTGAGATCGGTGGTGATGTTAACAAATTTCGGTTTTGGCCATCGTGCATGAGATGTGTCAACACTTGGAATACGGCATCAACGCCGCTTTCGGGATGACTGAAAACGTGGAGGGAGATCCACTCACAGAGCCGGACACAGGCGGGTCCGCGGGCCATGGCAGCCGAGCCCGCCCTGCGGCTCACCTGTGCGGAACTACCACTTCCTGAGTTCGTGCGGACCCGGGAACGCCTACTACCTGGAGCCGACACGCCTGTGTGAGTCCAGGTGTCACACGCTCCGCCCAGGACGGGCCTGGCGCACAGTGGGCCTGCACTCAGCGCGAGAGACAACTAAGTAGCCCTTCTCGCTAAGTTCCGTTTAGAAACAGTTATTTTTCGTTAAAAATGTTATTTATACTAACATGGAACAGGTCTGGCATCATTTCAAAGAACAAGTATTTTTTAATTTCTCAGATTTAATTTCTAATGCGGTGTATGTATAGACAGAGCCCACACAAACGCAAGCTCTTTGGGATCCATGATGATTTCTGAGAGTATAAAAGGGAGTCCTGAGGCCACAAAGTGTCCCACGAAGACCCCCAGGGCCACCTGGGACAGTCGTCTCCACGGCATCCTGAGTGTGGTGAGCAGGCTGTGCACTGGGCCTGCAGCAGGTGGCTGGGCGCAGCCAGTGACAGGGCCACCACCCGCCTATAGGCCTGGCACGTGTCCAAACCCCTGGATGTCAGCCCTTCCCTCAGTGCAAACAAGACCCACGTGGTCCCCTCACAGGCTGGCGGCGCCCGCATATCCTGCTCTGTGGCTGGTGGGGACGGACTGCGGTGGCAGCTGTGCCTGCCCTTCCTCTCTTCCCCTGGTCCCCAACTCCGCCACACCTCAGCACGGAAGCCCAGACTGTGACTGCCACCTGACACGGCAGGATAACTATGTCTCTTAATCTTGCAGGAGCCACCAGCGCTCCCTCCATAAACTGGGCGGTCTTATTTTCTGAGGTGGCCCAGGTCCACACGGGCAGCTGTACTTATGCTGTGTGTCCGGGCCACACATTCGGCCCTTCAGTTACGTGTCCATGATTCCACGGCTTACAGGGAATGTTTCCTTCAATTACTGTATCGAGTCTAGGTTTTGCCTCCCACCTACAGACATTTCGAGTTTCAAACTTCTTTGTAAGCTGTGAGCACTGGCTTCCCGAGAATTTTGGTAAACATTTGCTCACTGATCGATCATGCCTTCTGGCCACCAGCACGTCCCAGTCTCCGGGAAAGGCTGACAAGCTGCACACAGTGGGCTTCTGGCTGTCCCCACAGGGGTCAGGCCCAGCGCACCTGTCCCTAGGGCTCTAGGGTGCCCTTGGGGCCTCCCCCATTAAACCCTCCAGAAGCACCACATGGCAAATGCACACGTGGCTGGATCCTCAGCCAAGCAGGCCGCCCCGCCACCCAGGTGGAGCTCCGGCCTGAGCCCCCTCAGAGGGGCAGCGTTCTTACGGGAAGGAGGGCAGGACTAGAAAGCCAATCAGCTTCCGGAACCAGGTGTCCCGCATCGCAGGGGCGGCATCCTGCAGGGGTGACGCATCCTCCCACACCACCTGGATGTGCTGGCAGCCCGGCTCCCAGAAGGGCTCCGCGAACTCCAGGAAGATTTTGTTGTTGGTCCCAAAGCCGACCTTCCTGATGGCTTCTGCCTTCTCAGTGGGCAGCGGCGGCTCGAAGAAGGTGTCCAGACGTTCCTTAAGAAAGCCTGGAATTCACCAGTGAACGTGACTTACAGCACATCTCAAAACCAGAACCAACAGCCACAGGGCCCCACGCTGACCCGGGCACAAGAGTCAGGGAAAAAAGACCCCAACACACCTGCCTGCTGGGGACCCCACGGCCTCAGTGGCCAGCACTGCCTGGAGGCCCCAGGGCCACCTGCTCAGGCAGGGACAGTTGACACTCCCTGCCCCGAATGCTCTGTAGGGACAGGGTCACACCTCTGAGCCTCTGCCATTCGGCCCGTGGGGGAGCAGTGAGTGCACAGGCCTCCCCAGAGTTTCCGCAAGAACTCATTTGCTTGGTGGAAAAATCAACTCAGCCCAAAGTCAAACAATAAGAGGGAAATCCAGTCTCTTCAGGATGCAGGTAACTCGCAAGTCAGCACAAAAGACAGACAGCCCACAGGAAGCAAGGCGGAGCGTGCGTCACCGAGGGGTGGCCGTGACCGCACAGCCTTCCTGCGGCCAGTCGTCAGCCCACAGGCGCAATACTGCGCTCAGCTACAGACGTACTCGCACAAGTGATTTTAAATGTGCGTGTAAAACATTGTGTGAGACGGGGAAAGCAGACAATTTAAATGTCCACCAACGCTAAGTGATATTAAGCAATGACGCCTACATACAAGAAAATTCCGCATCTGTAAAGAACAAGTGCGAGGGGCCCTGCTCCCAGGAAGGACAGTCAAGGTCACAATAAGGCAGCAGCTGCTCACAGCAGGCGCTCGGTGAGCAGCAGGAACTGTGAATGAACGAAGCCGCTGGGGTAAAGAAAAAAAGAACACGGTGACGGAGCTGCGTGTGCCGATATGGAAACAAAACCACGAACAGTTTTAACCCCACCCCACCCCCAAAAAAGGAAAGGCAAACAGAGCGTCAGGGCAGAACTTTAATACTCTAGATGGTTCCATTTGCGGGAAACGCGACAAGGCTGAACGAGTCTACCAGACCCAGCCCGTCTGCCAGGACACACCAGCATGGTGACACGGCCACCGTGGGTGGGGCTGGGGAGCACGGGGAGACGCTTCATCTCGCACCTGCTAGCTTTGTGAACTTGGGTGATTAAATGACTTGCCTCTGCTGACATCTGTCAAACAGGGCATGGGGCAGGTAAGTCTCCCGGCTACCTGAGGAGACGAGTACGCTGGCACAGTTTCGCCTTTCAGCAAACTGCCAGCCCCGACTCAAACTTTCCAAAGCATCAGGTCTAGGACTCAACAGACCCGCCTGCTGTCACCGAACCTGGACCCACGACCACACTCTCTCCCGGGGGGCACCTCCCTCCAGAGGCCCCCCAACCTTTCCAAAAACTATGTCCAAAGGAGCAGGACAGCTGACTTGCCTTTGCTCTCTCTCTTGCTAAAACTCCAACTGCGATAAAACACAACACAGCAAGCCTACCCCACGAGGAACGAAACGGAAGTGTGAGCTAGGGCCAGGACAGAACTGGAGGCCGGGGGCGCCTGGCAGGGGCAGGGAGGAAAACCACGGAGAGCGGCTTTACCTAAAGGCACGGTGAGGACCACATGATGTGCTGGGAAGCAAGTCCCGTCTTCACACTCCACCAACACTGGGAACGTCTCCCCAGGAGACACGGCTTCCTGGAACGACCCATTCCAGTGAATGGTCTTCACGGGCTTGTTAAAAGTCATCACGTCCTGGGGCAAGGAGGCCACTATGTGGTCAGGGAGCCCTTGATAGCCCCTAGGAGACAGAGGTGTTGATGCTGTTTAGGGCGCCAGCCTGCAGGCGGGTAAGATGCTGAAACAGCCCACCGGTCCTCCAGCATCAAGGAGCTAAGGTGGGGTGTGGCTCAGCAGGAGGCGGGCACACCTGCCAGGCTGCAGCCTGTGCTTTCTGATCCCCCACAGGAATGTGGACACCCGCCTAATGGGAGGCTTAAGGAGTGAGTGGATTCGAGCTCCCAGGGGATCAAACAAGGCCTCTTCTCTCTGCTCTGCACTCCAGTTCTAAGCACTTAGTAGTCACAGAGCCTCCTCCTCCCAGGAGCCTCGGGCCACATGCCAGGCGTGACACCTGGGAGAGCCTCGCAGACAATCCTGGGAGTCTCTGGCAAGTGCCCATGGAAGGACAGGGCCCCGTCTGCCCCTCACGCAGTGCTTAGCACCTAAGGGGCTTCTCGAACGTGGAGGAAAAACAGAACAAGATGCACCTCCTCCTTTTAATCACTTTTTCTGAAACATATCTCGTTTTTCCTAACTGAGCAAAAGTAGGGCAATAAACGACCGATCTCTCTGAAATACGGATGACAAAAGGTCCCCTTGTCCCTCCCACCCTTCCGCTGCCTCCAGCAGCTTGACCTGAGGTAGACGAAGGGGAACTGGGGTGCACAGAGGGGACGGGCCGTGTGGAGGGCTAACTGGGTGAGTGCAGCATAAGCTTACCCCGGGAATGTACAGTCCAGCCCTGGCAGCACAGTGTACTCGCCAAAAGGCGCGAGGGCCACCAGGTCCATGCTGTGGGTGCCACTCACGCAGCACTCCAGGTTGAAGAAGCTGTTCAGAATGGCCAGCTTGAGCTTTCTGGTGCCCTCATCTTCTGTCCAGCGGGCCGCGTGCTGACTCAGCTCCTTCTTGAGGTACTCCCCAACACTGGGCACTGGCGTCTCGGCCGCGTGCAGGAACTCCCGGGTCTGGTCTATGAGACTATAGAACAGGTTGGCCATCTCCGCCACCAGCTCAAGGCTCACGCTTCCCCCGGAGCTGGCATAGGACACGGAGGGCAGGCCCACATGACCCCCGGTCTCCACCAGCTGGTTCTCCGCTGACAGCTCCTTCTCCCCCAGCAGCCCGTACTTGGCAGCCAGCTGGAAGACCGGGTTGCCCTGGGAGGGTCCGTGGATCCAGTGAGCGCCTACCTCCACCACACCACCTGGGAGGGGACAGGAGATGCCACCTGGAGTTTCTCTCCCCACAGAAGTAACCCCTGAGCCCTCCTCCTGGACCACACATGCCCTTCCCAAATATGCTCTGAAAACCAGCCCCAGGGCCTGGTCAGACCTAGCTTAAGGGAACACGTGACAGCGGGAGTGCTGGCCCGGACACTGAGGGGACACGCTGGGAACAGAAGGGGGCCCTGGGAGCTAGCAGCAGGCTGCAGGGAGACAGCCACAGGTTACCCCCGCGGCAGGGGCCGGCCCTGCTAGCTAAGCGCCACTGAGTTTCAGGAGACCAATGGACTTTGGCCAATTAAGAGGGGCGGGCGGGCATCTGGGCCGGTGAAACCTGCGCGCAGGCCGAGCCCGCAGGCGGCAGAGCTCGTGCAGCAC